TGATGGAGAACTAAAATCCATCCTAGACATCCTATCTCTAAGAGTATATGCCAGGTTAAAATCAGCCCTTCAGGAGACACTTAAGAAAGTGTTGAGCAGAGAGAAAAAAAAGGAACAGTCATATTTATCACAAAAGTACAGCCATGCACAGAGTTAATAGAGCATACAGAGAACTCTCAGAAAAGAAAATACACACACACACGGAAGTAAAAAGGAAACAAAGAAACACCATAAGATCCCTGACTGAGAGAAACTTTCACATTTTAATAATCAGTTAGAACATAAATGGACTAAATGTGCCACACAAAGAGTGGCAAGATGGATTAAAAAGCATGATGCAACAGTCTGCAGCCTCCAGAAAACTCATCTCACTGCAAAGGACACCCACAGGTCCAAAGTTAGAGGCTGGAAAATGATCTTTCAGGTGAATGAAAAACAAAAAAGGGCAGGTGTAGCTATTCTGATATCAGATAAAGCAGTCTTTAAACATTAAACGTTAAAGGGAATATGGAAAGACACTACACTACATAATGATAAAAAGTCTCAAACTACCAGAAAAAATATTTATCCTAAACATATATGCACCCAACGCAGGAGCATCAGGTTTATAAAACAGTAATCTAGGAGAGGATATTGACTCTCACACAATCATATTTGGAGACCTAAATACTCCACTAATAGCTTTGGATAGATCATTGATGCAAAAACCCAATAAGGAGATCCAGAACCTGAATCTGATCAAATGGACTTAATAGACATCTACAGAACACTTTGCCTAAGATCTACAAAGTATACATTCTGCTCATCAGCACATAGAACATAGTCCAATATCTGCTATGTTCTCAGACATAAATCAAACATGAACAAATTTCAAAGGATCAAAATAATACCATGCATCTTCTCAGATCACAGTGGAATAAAAATAAATATTACCACCAACATGATCCCACCAAAACACACAAAGACATGAACACTAAAAAATATGCTGCTGAGTGACTTCTGGGTCAACATGAAATCAAGACAGAAATAAAAACATTCCTGGAAACAAACAAAGAAAAAGACGCATCTTTTCAAAAAATTTGGGATGCCATGAAAGCAGTGATAGGAGGAAAATACATACCATTGCAAGTATACATCAAGAAAACAGAAAGATCATAAGTAGACATCCTAACATCACACCTAAAGGAGCTGGATAGGTAAGATCACTTAAATCTTAACTTCAGCGGAAGAATTCAGATCACCAAGATAAAAATCAGAGTCCAAGGACATAGAAGACAAAAATATCATAGAGAGATCAACAAGACAAAAAGCTGGCTCCTTTAAAGGATAAATAAGTTTGAGGGACCCCTGAACAGATTGACTAAAAAAAGAAAGAAAGTCCAAATAAACACAACTTGAAACACAAATGGTGAAGTCACAACTGACCCTGAAGAAACTCAAAAGATTTTCAGAGAGTACTATAAATATTTTATATGTATCCATAAAATATAAAAAATAGAAAATCTAAAGGAAATGAAGGACTTTCTGACATCACACAACTTCCCAGGTTGAAGCAAGAAGTTAAGACTCTAAATCAAGGCAGGTGGGCACACTTCATCAATAAGGGTGAAGTGGGGACCAAAGTGAGGGCCAAACTTTACCTGTACAGTGACCATTTGTATATCTAACCCTGAATTGCACCCCACATCTTTAAAATAAAAAAAAGAAAGAAAGAAATCTTTTCACTAAAGAAAGCCCCAGACCACATGGCTTCCCAGCTGAATTCTCAAGGACGTGCAACAGAAGCTAATACCAATCTTACTGAAAGTATTCCAGACAGTCAGGAACAATGAAATTCTCCCCAACTCATTTTATGATTCCAATATCATACTGATACCCAAACCTGGCAAAGACCCAACAAGGAAAGAGAATTGTGGGCCTATCTCCTTGACAAACATAGATGCAAACATTCTAACAAGATTCTAGCAAATCAGATACAACAATACAACTCAAAGTGTATCCACCATGACCAAGTGGACTTCATTCCTGGGATGCAGGGTAGGTTCAAAATTCTCAAGACCATAAGTGCAATTTATCACATTAACAGATGTAAAACCAAGAACCACATGATTATATCATTACATGAAGAAAACGCATTTGACAAAATCCTTGAGCACTTACAACAGAAGGAACAAACCTCAAAACAGTAAGAGCCATCTATGACAAACTCAAAGCCAACATTTTGCTCAATGGGCAAAAGCTGGAAGCCTAACAGCCTAAGAAAGGGAAAAAAGCAAGGCTGCCCACTCTCACCCTTGCTGTTCAACATAGTGCTGGAAGTCCTAGCCAGAGAAATTAGAAAAATGAAGGAAATCAGGTATGTCCAGACAAGATAAGAGAAGGTTAAGCTGTCTCTCTTTGTGGACAATATGATTCTATACCTTGAAAACCCTAGAGGGTCTGTCAGAAGCTTCCTTGCACTGATAATTGACTTTGGTAAAGTCTCAGAGTACAAAAGCCACATGCAAAAGTCAGTTACATTTCTATACACCAGCAGCAAGCTGACAGAGAACCAAATAAAAAACACAATCCCATTTACAATAGACATACAAAGAAAGAGATACCTTGGCATCCACTGAACCAGAATAGTGAAAGATTTTTACAATGAGAACTAAACTCTGATCAAATCAATCAAGGATGATACACACAAATGGAAAACTTTCTATGCTGATGAATTCCATTATCCCAAGGAAATCTACGGAATCGATGCAAAACCAATCAAATTACCAACATCATTTTTTTCACACCTGGAAAGGGCGATACGGAAATTCACATGGAAAAAAAAAACAGCACAGATAGCAAAAAAATCCTCAGCAAAAGGAACAAAATGGGAGGTATCACACTTCCAGACTTTAAACTTTATTACAAGGTTACCATAAACAAAACAGCCTGGTATTGGTACAAGAATAGGCACATAGATCAATGAAACAGGACAGAGATTCTAAAAGCAAAAACTTGGTCTCTCAACCACACTTATCTTTGACAAAGTCACCAAAAGAACCACTGAAGAAAGAACACCATATTTAGCAAATGGTGCTGGGAAAACTGACTGACCACATGCTGCAGAATAAAACTAGACCCCTATCTATCACCATATATAAAAATCAACTCTAAGTGGATCAAAGACCTAAACGTTAAAACTCAAAGTATAAGAAGATTCTAAAAGAAAGCATAGGAAACATGCTTATGCAAGTCAGAGTAGGCAATGAATTCTCTACCAAGTCTCCAAAAGCAAATGCCATAAAAGCTAAGATAGACAAGTCGGATCTCATCAAGCTGAAAAGGCTTTTGTACAGCAAAAGGAATCATTAAGAGAGTAAAGAGAACACACAGAACGGAAAAAAATCTGCTCATTATATATCTGACAAAAGTCTAACATTCAGGATCTACAAAGGAACTCGAAAGAAAGAAAGAAAGAAAGAAAGAAAAGAAAGAAAGAAAGAAAGAAAGAAAGAAAGAAAGACAAACAAATCTACTCAAAAGTGGGCAAAGGACATGAACAGATATTTCTCAAAAGAAGACAGACAGAAGACAGCAGTCATTAGACTCATGAAAAAAATGTTCAACCTCTCTAATCATCAGATAAATGCAAATCAAAACTACAATGAGTTTTCACCTAACTCTGGTAAGGATGGTCATCATTAATAAGTAAAACAAACAAAAAAACCAAAAAACCAAAAAAAGAAACAGATGCTAGCATGGGTATGGAGAAAAAGAAACACGTCTAATACTGTCAATAGGAGTGCAAGCTAGTTCAGTCTGTATGGAAAGCAGTGTGGTGGTTTCTAAAACAACTGAAAATTGACCTTCCATGTGATCCAGCAATTTCTCTCCTGGGAATATACCAGAGGAACATAAATTGTTCTACAAAAAAAGACTCTTGCACACATATTTATTGCCCCACTATTCACAATAGCAAGAACACGGAACCAGCCCTACTATACAATGAAAGTGAACCGGATAAAGAAAATGTGGTACATATACATGATGGAGTATTACAGAGTCATAAAGAAGAACAAAATCACGGACCTTGCAGCAAATTAGATGGAATGGAGACCATCATACCAAGTGAACTATCACAGAAACAAAGAAATAAATACTGCATATTCTCCCTCATAAGTGGGCCCTGAACACTAGTCACATTAGCACAAGGGAGGGATCAGCAGTTGCAGGGCACTGCTAGGGGAGGGGGAATGCGGTATAACGACACAAAGGGTAATTGATCCTTCCAGGAGAGGTGAGGGCCAGCTAGCAGCCCAAACAGCACCTGCATACAGTCTACTTATGTCATTTATCCTCACTGGTATCCCCCATCTCTCTAATAAAATAAAACAATAAGAAAACGACTACAAAGGAAAACAAAATATGGCCTTTTTCAATGATAATAAAAAGAGGCCACTTATCAAGATCAATTTTAAAGAAGAGAAAAGTGGCTTTACTTTCATGTGGTTAGTCTGCTATTTTATTGCCCACTGACATTGATTCAAGACTATAATAAGAATATACATGTAGCCCCTATGTATGAGTACTTATATATGTGTAAATGCACATATTTATAACTAAATTATATGCATCACATATATATTGTATATTTCATATTTATGTAAAATTCTGAGAAGAAAAGTTGGCCACAACAGAGGGAAAAGGTAATGATTTAGTGGCTTTTGTCTTGAAAACCAGAGGACCTATTGTTTATGATGAATCTATGTCACTGGAGATACACACACACACACACACACATTTATACATATAAAAACACATGAAAACTACATATATACATATGTGTACATATATACACATACGTAATTTTATGAAGGAATATATCAACACACAAATGAGTACCTTAATTAACTAAATAGTTTCATACTGACTTTGATGCACAGGAAAAACAACATAGATCTTATATATGACCGTACACAACTTTAACGGCAGGTATGAGAGCAAAACTCCCGTCATCTTACCAGGCTTCGGGACAATGAGCTGTGCACTGGTCTGGGCATTTCCAGCCTCATTTTCTGCCACACATTGATAAAAGCCTTCATCTGACTTCACCACCCCAAGTATCCGCAAGTTGCTTCCTCCCTAAGGGAAAGAAAAGTCGAGTGAAATATCTTAAAGAGCAAAAACGCTCAAGGTGACAGAATGAACTGAGGTCAAAATGTAAGGTCATCCAGGATCACAGAAGAAACGGGAAGGGAGACCACAAGGATCTCAGCCTCACGGATATGTCCTAGGGCACCTGGGAAATGTTATGCGTTCCCAGTGCTTTTTTCTGAATTCACAGCCATCAGGTCAACCTAAGTCAGCAGTAAAAAAATGCAAAATATGCTCACAATCTTTAAACATCATCCTCACTAAATGAGCAGTCAGCAGAAAGGTCTTTTACTAGGCATGGAAGACACAAAGATTGGCATGAAGAAGTATCTTATTCTTTTACTTGTAATTGAAAGAAGTTCGGGTTTAGTAGGCTGCTAAAAGAGAAGAAAGGAAGGAAGAAAGGAGGGAGACTGATATTTGCAGCTTCTAACGAGCAAGAAATAAAGGCTGGATATTTTCTGAAAGTTTATACCCAGAAAAAGTCTAAAAATCCTCTTACAATGGTAATGGCTTTGCCATATACATTGGGATTTCCAGAGGAGTGTATGGTGGATATTTTATACACAGGTAGTTCTTCTATGGCTAAAATGATTCACTGTTAATAGACTAAATAAAGCAATATTAATTCCTCTTTTCTAGAAATTGAGCCACCATCTTTTTCAAGGATGGATGATAAAATGATCTGGAGATAGCATTTAATTATACTAACTCAGTTTATCTTTGATGTTAGTGTAAGAATTAGTTAAGTAAGTGAAACGTGTTAAATCACTTTCCCTGAAGTCATTAAGAGATAAATATTACCTCATGGGGAATTCTTAATTGTTTTTAGTGTCTTGTAGTCAATTCTCAGCTGATATAAAATTCTTAGATAAAGCTGGCTAACTTCTAATTAACAATTCTCACATAAGTTACTATTTGTGCTCAATGTTACGTGTGCGACAGACAATGGCTCAGATTTTGGGAGCTACTGGGGACATATTTTAAAGCACAATTTAATGCAAATACGACACATATCATACATTTTCTTTCACCTTAAGAAAAGAAGAATTGAAATAGGTTGGCTGTAACGAGTCATGCTGAGAGAAAGATTATTTTCAAGCTGTAGAAAAAATAAATGTTGCATTTTATCATGTGCCCTTAAGGGCACTCAACCGCTTCCTTTATATGCAAGTAGCATATACTTTAGGCATATACAACATTTTCACGTTGCCCAATGGTGGGTCATTTTTAATTCAGTGGTGGTGGAAATAGCATTGCATTTAAAGGAAGTAATGGATTGGTGTGGCATTTAAACAGCAATTTTTCCCCCTTTCTTACTTTATTCCCAACCAATTAAACAAATTCAGCTAAAAGTAAAAAATGATAAGTAGTGATAAAAGTGATAAATACATGCTTTATGGATGTCTTCTTTAAGAACCTTTACTGTATGCCAAAATGCATGCATAGATAATGAAAGTTTCTGAAAGTCAACTGGCTGTGAAAGAGATGTTTACCAACAAAAGCCAGTGCAATGTCTTGGAGAGAGCTTGTATCTGGACTCACAAAATGCCTCCATACCAGTCTCCTTCTGCCAGGGAGATCTGGCTTAGTTGACAGCTCTTCTTTGACAAGATCATGTCTGCATCTCAAAGATTAACAGAAGTGGACCGCAAACTCACTGCTTTAGCAGCAAATTTCTTTGGAAAGTGCTTTTTATATTTCTCATATATTCATATATCTGAAATCAGAACCTCCAGTGCTAACCTATACTTACAGAAGAGTTTTCAGAGCATTTTCAAATGAGCAAGGCGTTCTTCTGGTAGCAATAAAAATGATAAAGGTAGGTGTGGAGTGCTCGCTAGGTACCAGAGCAGCAACTCAGTGAATACACTACTGTGATCCCTACTATCTTCCACAAGGATAGGGATAGAGAGTGAACTTTATAGGAAGCTGTAAAGTCTTTATTCTAGCTTCAATTTTTTTCCAATACTGTATTCAAAATCACAAAGCAATATAAACTCTGGATTGCCATGGCCTCTCTATCATTGCAATCAACCGTTGTCAACACTAGTGCTACTGCCCCACCATCACGGCCCTGCTCCGTTGCTGATGTATGATCAGCTGGTCCTATCTGGCAAGGTAACAAGACAAAAAAAAAGCTGTTGGTTTTATCAAACTAAGACCTCCATATTTTAAAGTAGCATATCTTATTGAAGCTTTAGTAAAAGGAGCAAAAGTCAAAGAAAGAAGAGAATTATGGTTTTTCTGGCTTCATATAGTATAGGACCAGTTTATCATCCCAATTGTATGAACCAGCAGTGAGAAACAACTTGGAAAACCTTGGGCTCTCTGTTTTTTTCTTTGTTTTAAAGCCTTATCTGTAACCAAAGGGCTGGACTGTTGGATCACTCTTTGTTTCAGCTCCAACATTTTTAAGTCTAGAAAATAATTTGTTTTATTAGAACAATTTTCTCAACACACCAAGAAAAATTCCCAACAGGAAACTTCTTCCCAGGAAAGAAAAGCAAGTTAAAAAAAAAAAAAGAAGAAGAAGAAAGAAAGAAAAAGAAAAAAACAAATAATGAATGGGATTGTAAAACTAATATGCAAAAAGATAATTACCACTATCTGAAAATAATCACTAGGAATGACCACATCTCCATTCTTCATCCAATGCACAGTGGGCACAGGCTTTCCAGAGACTGCACATTCAAACTCTATATCCATGCTTTCATAGGCATACAGGTTGGAAGGGTGATTTAAAAACCATGGCGGAACTGCAAAGACAAAAAAAAAAAAGTGAGTGAGTGGGTGGAGATATGAGCTTGCATGTCGCTGAGGTCTTCACTGCCTTAAAAACACTGCTCTGGGATAGAAAATATATGTAATTCAGCTCATTCCCTAAACCCTTAGCTTATTATACAGGTACTAATGTAGAATAAATATTTTTTTCCCCCAAACACAGTTAAACAGTTGTAGTTAATGGTATTTTGCCTCAAGAAAAAAAGTTCTGAATACCCACGCATTTGTATCCAATTGACCTACACACTGAAAAGTACATACATCTATGGAAACTATACTGATAAGGAGAAGCTGAAAGGACTGAGACAACCCAGAGTATAAAGTGAGAAAGCTCCGTTTCCCTGTAATTCTAGCGTTTCATTAGGATTTAGTTAATGTCATAAACTCATTCTCTGTTGAAAGTAGTCGTAGTGATAAGGAACTAAAAAATGACTGAGTCATTTTAACTGTGGACACATTTCTATTGTCCTAGCAACTACTGATTGCGTTGTATTACTGTCATTTTCTCAGCATGGTATGATAGAGTAATTTAATTCCATTTCTTTTTATTTAGATTAGGAAATATAGTTTATTTAGAACGTAAATTGGAGAGAGAGAGAAAGAAAGAAGATTCACCTCCCAAGGTTGGGGAAACATGGCCCGGCCATTAACTTAATTTCTTAACTGCCATAATACTAGTTACCCTATGATGCGAATTTGCAATTGAGAGAAAACTCCAAATATAACACATCTTTGCTAGTGGATTTCTCCAGCTCAGGCTCAGTCCCTCTGAACCTTGCCTAGGAGAGAAAAAAAAAATTTTAAAGTAACATTTATCCTCTTCTATGGGATAACTTAATGTGATATCAGATTTTGAAATTCATGTTTCATGAGAAGCCAGATAGTAGCAACCATGATCTCCTTTCACACAGGAAATGAATATGTATTTTTGGTAGCCATTTTTAAAGATAGATTTTGTATTTTTGTCATTATTGTCATGTTGTATAAGTGACAAGTGCTATTTTTTTTTGCTTGAGTAGCTACTGTATTTTTCTCTTTCCAACTTTCCTTTGACACCCAAGTGAATGTTCACTCTTTGATGGTCACTGCCTTCAAGAAAAATGAGAGAGCTAGAAGAGGTTTTCAGGATTAAGTCTTTTGATTTTTCCTGCTGAATGATTTCTCTCTCTCTCTCACACTCTCTTTCTCTCTGTGTCTCTATCTCTGACTCTCTAACTCTGCCTTATTTTCCTTATTTGTAACTAAATATTTGGAGCTCTAGTACTAGATAACTTTTAAGTTATTTAATCTTTCACAAGGTTGAACTGATTTAGACAATTTGACTGGGACACATTAATAGTCAAGGTCTAAAAACATTTTTTTAAAAGTGTCTGAGACCCATTCTAATCAGGACATGCACCCATCGTATGTACAGCTAAAATTATTTATTTATTATTGATAATATTGCTAGTATAATAATTTTTTTATTCCTTCACCAAATTCATGGGCAATGAACCAAAATAAACTAGAATTATTTATTCATTAAATGCCTCTGAATAGACACTTCAGTTGAATATTCTCAATTCTGTTCTCAGTTTTATGAGAGATTTTGGTCAAGTGTTTATTTATTAGCTGATACACAACACGTTTTGAGAGCTGACAAGGCACAATTTATTCATCTAAGCACTTTGAATTTATTATTCTCAACCATCCCCACTCTCGCTTGCAGGTTCTATTATCCCTATTTTACAAATGAAGATATTGAGGTACAAGGTGTTTAAATAACTTTCCACAAATTGCACAGCTTGTACATTGTGGAGTCAGACAGTCTGACTTCTTGCCTACATTCTGAACAGCTTTGCTGTAATTGTCTCTTTGCCACTTAAAATTCTGGCAGAAAGATAACGCAATTATATTTCTGGAGTTTCAGAGATAATGGAGATAAGCAATTACAGCCATTAACAAAAATAACACTGTTTTCTATCCCATCCCTCCTTTCCCTTCAAGTTCTTCTTTCCTGATACCACGAAAACTACTTAAGTCTGCCTGGCCTTAGTGTTCACTTTGATTAGAATTTCTGAAATCATGGTGACTGCATCAGTGTTTTTCAAAATTTGAGTTGTATCAATTAACAGATCTTGAAATTAATTTACTGAATTAACACCAAAATTTAAATATATATGTTTATGTATGCAGAAGAGAAAAGGAAGGGAAGAGAGCCCTACATTGAGAGTGAAGAAGAGAAAAGTGAAATTTCTAGAGCCCAAACGATGGAGCTAGATTGGGCTGGGTTAAAATCCCAGCCACCCCACTCACTACGAATGCCTCTGTTATCATTCCCAACTACAACCTGGAGATAATGACAGTTAATGTTGGTAAATAACGTTGCATAATTGTATGTTACAGAAAAACAATAAATGGGAAAATATATCGAGTGTATCACTTGTGGCAAACTTAATTATGGTATTGTATATAGGTATATAAAAATACATAAGTAGGGCTGGTTCCATGATCTTGCTATTGTGAACAATGCTGCAATAAACATATGTGTGCAGGTATCTTTTTGATAGAGTGATTTGTGTTCTTCAGGGTATATTCCCAGTAGGGGAATTGCGGGGTCATAAGGAAGGTTGATTTTTAGAGCTTTTAAGAACCAACCATGCTGTCCATCAAAAGAGGACTGGATTTTAAAAATGTGGTACATATACACAATGGAATATTACGCAGCCATAAAAAAGAACAAACTCATGAATTTCGCAGCAACCTGGATGGAACTAGAGTCTATAATACTGAGTGACCTCTCACAGAAACAAAGATCTGAGTATCACATGTTCTCACTCATAAGTGGAACTTGAACAACTACCATAATACTATAAGAAAAGAATTGACAGTGATGACAAACTATGAGGGGCAGGGAGGGGAAAGGAGGTGGAATTAACGGTAGTCGATATCCGTCTGGGGAAGGGGGAGCACATCTCATCAACCAGGGTAACTGCACAATGAATACTTGTATACCTAACCCTTAACTGTACCCCACAATTTTAAAATAAAAAAATATATATTAAAAAAAGAAATACATTAGTAAATATGCAAATCATGTGGATATGTCTGTGTGTATACATGTAGCATTTAATTACTTTTTACAACTATTTTATTTCCTGATTCTTCAATTATAATTGTTTGTCATATTCTTAATATCAAAGAGTGTGTGTCACATAACATAATTTCTTAAGAACAAATTATGAGTTTAAATTATTGCTATTTCTCATAGTTTCAGGCCGATTCGCTCTGTTCCTGTGTTCCTGAGATAGGACTCATCTTCGTGTTTATTATCCCTCAGTGGAGCTAAATAAAGCAAAGTTGATCACATAGTGAAGCCTAAAATCCTTCTGTTTTATTGGTTAATAAAACATAGTGACTTCTGATTCACTAGGTGGGAAATAATCTGGTTTAATCATGTAATTATAGTATAAGTGCCATGGATGGCTCAATAATTACTTCCAGCTTACAAATATATATGTGAGTACTCTGTCATTTTCTCATATTCCTTAGGCTTTCAGCAATTACACTGGACACCTTCTCTTCCCTGGCTGTCTTAATATCTTCATTTCTATATCATGGTCTCTAACTTTCACAGTATATCAAATAGCATCCAGGAAGAAGAAGAAAATAGCTTTTCTCACTTTTCTCATGTAAGTGGGAAGCAGAAGCATCAAACATCAATATCGTACTGGTCTAACATGGGTCTAAGCCTCATGTTTTCTGATGTATTCTGCCCAGTGAGCTCTGATAAGGACAAGGACTCATGCTTTCTCTTCCTATCTCCATGCCTAGGATCGGGCCACATCCTCAGCAAGAGTCCAACAAAGATTTGCTGCTGATGAGAAGAAGAACTCAAGCCACAAAATGTTTTCACCCTTTGCTGTGGCAATATTTGTTTGGAGAATGTCAAGGAAACCATATCTTTACAAAAATGAGATTGTCTTACCATGGAAAATAAAACGTCAATAAGTGATGAGAAAAAAATAAAGAGCAAAAAAAATGATAAACCGTGGTTAATTGGAGAAAAAATTGGATATGAATTAAATGGAATACCGTTAATTCCTGGAAACCTTGAAAAAGATTGGATAGGAAGATCTGTAAACTTTCTTGGAAATGGTGTTTTAGGGGTGAAATGAGATCAAAACGGAGTGGTCATAATGCAGTCATGCATGGGGTTCTCTTGATGTGGGGTGATTGTTTTTTCCTAAAGATGGTTCGTCCCTGTCCCCTCCCCCCCAAAAAAGAATATCATTAATTCTTAATGAATATTCTTGAAACTCAGTCTTAAAGTTTTTCTCTTTGAGCAGAAGTAATTAAAATACTTACACAACATGGAAGCGGGTCTAAAAATGTCTGAATATTTGATCTAGGTTTCGATTAGGAGTTAGGCAGAAGTCCTTCAACTTTGCTTTTAAGTAATGCATAATCCAATGGCTGCCTGCTTCCTGAACTTTTCATCCACACACCCCTTACATATACTCCGTGGCTCGGTTACATGAGAGTACATGTTCTCTTTCTCACCCCAAGTCTTTGAACATTCTATTCTCTTATCCTGAAATGTTTCCCACTTCATGCTAGAAGATAGACATCCTACTTATCCTTCATGGGCCCACTTCTCTAAGGACTGTGGTTTTTTTTTTTTCTTGAGAATTTTTATTCCCTTTTGAGACCCCTGGTATGTTTATTTTTACGGATGTTTGGCACTTGACTTGTATTTGTGCACTTGTGTACTCAGCACTAGTGTGTGACTCTTTGGGGAGACAGGAAGGGGTTATATTGTGTTAGCATTAATTTAGTACATGATGTAACATTCTGATGATTACACTATTGTGCAAGAAAGTGAACAAATGAAGTTTACACCATTGTTCTCTTCTTATTTAATCTACTTTTTTTCTGACGATAAATAGAATAAGATCTATTCATCCCATTTTAGGATTTCTTCCTAGAATTTAGGAT